GTGGAATAAACTTTTTTTTTTAAATTAATCACTCCATTTTAAGGCATTAAAAAAAAATAACTGTAGTAATATTTTTAAGAAATTTTGTTTTCTCATAAAGCTATACTTGGGATATATATCTAATACATGTTTAAGAAGCATAACGTAAAATGTTTTATTGTGGATCAATCGCGGCAATAAAAAAAATCTTTAAATTTTTCTTTAAATTTTTTTGAAAGCGAGACATCTCGCGAGTATATTTAATATTTTTAATGAAAAATTATTTATTTCTTTTATTTTTTCTACACACAAAGGGACATTGGTAACATTGTATCAGAGTATGCATGTGATGCATTTGTAAAATTTCTACTCGGAGAGTAGATTTCAAAAATATTTGTATACATAAGCATTATTTGTCTTTCTCAAATTTTAATTGCTTTCTCCTCTCTTTCTGCCCCTTTTCTTGCATGCTCATTGTCGCATACATAATTTTCTGTCCTGTCATTAATTTCGTTAATTCAAATTATCTTTTGCCTACTATCCCGTGTGAGCGTGTATCAGCAAGATGTGGTGGTTCTGTGAAACGTGTAACATTTTATAAAAAAATGTGCAAAAATTAAATATGCACGCATCGTGTAGAGATCCGTTGAAATATTTAGTGTGTGAATCTATATATTATGATAGTATGAAATTCAGAGCTTGGTCATCTTATTTTCTGTGCGCGAGATATCGAGGAACTTTGAAACTAAAAATTAAAGAAATTAGGAGGATAAATTGTGTATGCAAGGAATGTGTTTAACTTTTAATTGCCGTTTCTTTGATATATTCTAATCTTCCTGGATGTTTTGCTTATCTCTTTATCTATATTCGACATGTGTACACTTTAAACGAGTGTTTTTTCGAATAGTTATTCACAATCTTGTACTTTGTGCTGTGTAATTAGTTGCAGTTTACGAAAAAATAGATCCGAAACAAATTAAACGGGATACACTGAATTGCCTTAATGCAAGATGCCTGAGAAATTAATGAAAGGGATCGACTACCCTCTTTGAAAGATGGATGTGTCTGCATTGCGAATATCTTGCGCATGATGCTCCAATGAAGTTAATACTGTACTGAGCTAATCTTAATAAACATATGCATACGTAAAATTATCAAATAGCGTATATTGTGAGCGGATTTATTGCATTATTATATATTCTGACCGAATCAATTATTTATTCAAATGGAATATACTATGACGATTCATGCCCAAACTGCGGAAGCCTGTATTTAGAAACGAAGTTTCTCGACTCCAAATCGATATAAATCATTTAATTGACTAGAAATTGCGTTTTTTGTTTAATTAGGTTTAAAAGCAAAACATTGCACACTTTATTTGTATTTAAGAAATTGCAATGATGTGTTCCCCTTGTTTCCACATCTCTAATCGAACTGTCAAATGTCAAATTTTCTATATACATACATTTTACATGAAATAATGTTTGAAAAATTCTAGATTTCACAAAAAAGCTATTTCAGCATCTTTTCCTAGTCATCTATATAATGATTGATCAAGATTCGTAGATTTTAGCAAACTATAAGAGAGACTTCAGAACTTATGCAAAACATTTCAAATTTATCAACGAATACATGCACAGAATAAAACAGAATTGAGCGTACTAACACCATTACAATCCTTAAAAAAATGCTTATGATATTTTCTTGCCTCATTTTCCTTATTACATAAATCATCTCCTTCCCTTATAAATATTCAATTTATATGTACTATATTTTATGTATCATTAATGTCTATCATATAACTAAATTATATGTTATGGTAAAAAATGTGATTAATTTAGTAATTATTCATAATTATCAATAATTATGCATAATAACCAATTAATCATATTTACAGTAACATATATATATATATATATATATATATATATATGATAATTATTGAAATGTGTAAATTGTGTTTGGTTGTATTTTGTGTTATATGCCTCTGATGCTGAATATAATGGAAATTCAATTAAGACATATGTGTCTGCTGATCCTTATTTCCTATTAGATATGCATATTAAACTTATAAAGTACACCCAGAAATCAGGATTTTTATGTTTATTCGACAAGGATCAGGATCTGAATACAGATTGAAATTAAATAATATATGCATGGGGATCAACAAAATACGAAGAATGAAACGAATATTAAGTACAAGAGATATATTTATTTATTTAACTCTATATATTATATATAATTTATATATTTTTTTTATTGTTATAGTTAAAAATTTTGCAATATCTTTCTTCATATGATTATTAAAATCATATTCAAGAATAAATAATATGCACGGAACGCTTTTATTGTGATTTAATTAGATCTCAATTAGATCTCAAGAATTAATATCTAGAATTTAGAAGAATATCAATTCGCGAATAAATACAAGATAGATCTATATAAAAAATCGATGTTTTTTTTTTTTCAAGTACGATTTTTCTCTATGTTTTGAAAA